AATAGCTGCCAGCAATTAGCAACAACCCTCAATTTACTTCCCGGGATCTCTGTATTGAACACCACACATATCACAAATGGCACTCAAATTGCGCTCCCGGACCTCGTACCCTCATGTGCCAATGCGGCAAGCTATAATTTGGCTACCGCGACAACAGATATGTGCCGAGTAATCGTGAATGCCAGTTCCAGTGCATCCAGCACCAATCGTATCGAAGCCTGGCTACCAGATAAGTGGAATGGACGGTTCCTAGCGACAGGTAATGGCGGCACCGGCGGTTGCATCGACTATGGCAATCTACAGAACGGTGCAAGTTTCGGCTTTGCTACCTTTGGCACGAACGGAGGACATGACGGACAGTCTGGCCATGATTTCTTCCTCAACAAGCCCGAGAATATTAATGACTTTGGATATCGCGCGATTCACGTCGAAGCGGAGACGGGCAAGCAAGTGGTCGAGCATTATTATGGCCGAAAAGCAGATTACAACTACTACTCGGGCTGTAGTACTGGTGGCCGTCAGGGCTTCGAGGAGGCGATACTGTATCCAGAAGATTTCGACGGCATTCTTATCGGAGCAGTAGCCGTGGACTGGCTCCGTATTGTGGCTTCGAAAGGTCTTCTTGCGCGACGCCTTGGCTGGCCAGACCTCGCGTCACCCAGCTACGTTTCTGCCGCGCAATGGGCAGCGATTGTTACTGCACAGGTCGCCTTGCTAGACCCTCTGGATGGCGTTAAAGACGGGATCATCGACAATCCGACACTCCATAATTTCGACCCATCGATGCTTGCTTGCGGCATCGGCGTGCTGAATTCGTCAGTCTGCTTGAGCGCTGCGCAAGTCAACACGGTGCGTGAGATCTACCAGCCTCTTGCCAACACCTCGGGTCATGTTGTTTATCCATCTTTTGAAGTAGGCGTGCCGACTGGTGTGTTTTCCGCCAATACTGAAGTTGTGAACGGCACGACGATACCACGGCTAAAATACGGTCTGGTTGATGACTTCTGGCGCGGTGCAGTATACAATGACACTTCATTCTCAGTACTAAACTTCACAACAAAAGATATGGATTTTGCCACCAATCTGAATTC